TCTATTTCCAAGATAGGATTTTAATGTGTGTAGGGCGACATCACCCACACCATAACGTTCGAGTTTGTCAATTAGGATTTTGTGGGAGATACAATCGAATGCTTTGCTCAGGTCGCAAAGTGTCAATGACAACATGTCTGAAGATTCAAAAGCATACTGCACTCTGGTTACAAGTTCGGCCATCGCAGTCACCGTGGATTTATTACGCCTGAATCCACGTTGAAGACCAGAAAAAAGGTTGTTTGATTCAAAAAAATTTACTAGTTGATTCCTAATGATGGTTTCTATTACTTTACTAAACACAGGAATTACAGAAATCTATATATCTAATTCCGTAAGCCCAAAATTTTACAATGAAATTGTGAGCGAACGGGAGGCTGTAGAAAGCTGGAAGAGGTCTCATTTTAAAGGTCTGGGCATGAAATTTTGGGGAAAATTATTCATTTTTTCTTAATTATGTACCAAAAGGTTGTTACGGAATAAAATAATTCACATTTAAATAGCATGGGAATCTATGTCATGTCTGCTTTGTTTACTTTAAAACATGTGGTTTAAACTTTATTTAAAGCATATGGTAATATGTAATATGTACTGTAAAGCTGAAATAGATTTTTTTCCCAATTTTAAGGTTCTGGATTAGTTAATGGAGCACGATTAGTTAGAAGTAATTACAGGATATTTTTCATGCCAAAAATAAAACTAATATCATAAGACCCTAATATGCCGTTTAAGTTTACAAGGATTCAATTCCCATTGAGATTAGCTTTCGCTATTACTAGGTATAAATAAAGCGCAAGGCCAAAGCTTCACAAAAGTTGACATTTATTTGAAAACCCCAGTGTTTAGGCCTACCCAGTGGTCAACTTTATGTTGCTTTTAGCTGGGTAAAGCGGCCAGATGATGTTAAAATACTACTAGAACTAAATAAAGACCAAGGAACTAACCAATATGGATACTGTAAAACAGAGAGATTTTCCATTTTACAAGCTGGAAGATGACATTATCTCTATGTGTTTTTCAAAGTGAATTTGTCTATATTCAAAGAAATGTACATATCTTTTATTAATAGTCATGAAGATAACTATTGAAAATGTTCCTCAGTTGTACTATGATTAGAAAGTTTATATTATAAACACACTGCATGAACAGTCCTTTGGAATTTTTATTTTTAACAGAGCAGACATCAAAATTCTTTATGCAGCTATATAATAACTATCCTAACATATATATAAAAATGTTAAACAATTCAAGGTAGGGTAACTCATGAGACTAATAATTTGTACAAAATAATTACTAGAATATATATATAGGGGCCCCTACAAGCCACTAGTAGGCCTATAACTGTTTAAGTTGGAAGGATCGCCCTTTTTGTAAATGGGGACCGTTCGTGCAACTTTAAAAAGATCGGGAAAAATTCCAATGCTCAGACAATCATTTATAATCATGGATATAGAGGTTGAGCAATTTCATCCACTATGGCCTTGAGGACAACAGTTGACATGCCGTAGATATCTGGGCTACGTGAGGATTTAAACCCCGACACGATCTTCACTATCTCAAAGGAGTTACACTCTGCCATCGTACAAGGTTGACATTTGAACGAGGGACATTTTCAGCAGGATCGTCAGCCACTGATGGAATCTCCAAAACCAGTTTCTCAACGTTACCTAACAGAAATTTGTCGAAATCATCTGGGCTAGCTTTACATAGGGCTGTATTTGGCTTTGAGAGGCTTCTATTACTGTTAACTAACGACCAAGCCGCCTTACATGGATTTAGTGCACCTTCAATCTTACTTATATTATCGAGTTTCTTGGCTTCATTGACCTTAACCTTGTACGTATTCTTTGTTTTGACGTACAAGCGTCTAACTACAATGCTCCAGGTAATGAACTCTGCAAATAATTCTTATGATTCTTTTTTCGCCAAAGAAAAACTGTTTGTCTCGCTACATCCTCCCCAAAATGTAACTCCCTAACTTATAATGCTATGGGAACACCCGTAGTACACCTTCATCAGAACACTCTACACCATTCCTCAGCTTACGAGCCAGGCAGCAGACCACGACCAGTCTCTCTATTACATTATAAATAGGGACATAAATAGGGGCGACGGCGCACAAGGAGTCGGAAGTAAATCTTGAATGGAAGCATAGGTTGAGATGCTCATCAAATTAAAGGTATTTATTAGTAGAATACAATGCCGCAAACCGTACTTCAAAAGGACCATCCGTTAAAAAATGACAGTTGTTTAAAGATTTAAAAAAGTGTTTTAATTTAAAGAAATTGGCTAATTTTGAAAATCTTTGAACATCTGCCATTTTGCGCAGGATCAACCTTTTGAAGTGCGGGTTGCGGCATTGTTTTCAGTTGGAGTAGACCTTGAAATTGATGTACAACTCAACATAGGCTGTCATTAAAGATTTTCTTCTGACCCCCGACGGGCCGTCCCCCAAAGGTGATATCCGACCACCATGTACACAGAAAAGTAGCTTACAATTTCCAGTAACGGTATACCAAATGTGGTTATGATATCGTTTGGTCACCCTGTATTTTAATTAAGGGGCTGTAGTCAGGTTTATTCCTGTTATAAAAGTGTAGAAATCCAGTTTTTCCATGATAGCTTATTATTATGGCAACAGTTTGATAAGCTATTTATTCCGGACTGAGTCTTCTTGATTGATTCAGCTGAATTTGAGTCGGACACTATATGGCCGACGTCATCAGCATAAAGCCACACCTCGCCATGCTACACATCCTCCAATAGACCATTAACAAAGAGCAAGAAAATAATAGGACCCAGGTTCGAACCTTGCGGAACGCCGGTATTCACATCGTGTTGCATCTCTGACTTATCTCTGACTTCTTATTACATGATCCAAGGTGTTTGACCACTACCACCTGTGACCTGTCTTTCAGAAATGACATAATCCAATCCAATGGTTGGTTTTTAATACCAAACTTTATCAATTTATTTTTAAGTCTAGGCTATGATTAAGGCAATCATTAGCCTTAGTCATGTCATAAAACAAAGCAAATAGGCTAGGTATACATCTTCCATGCAATCAATCTTGTCATGAACTAAGGTCAATAAAGAGAATATAGCATCTATAGTTGATTTCTTTTTTTCAGGATCCAAATTGATTTTGCAGTAAAATTTTGTTTTATTCTAGGTATGGCAGGAGTCTATTTAAAAAGGCCACTTCAAATAAGTTATTTTAGGGAAGACTGACTGGATCGCAACTGGTCTATAATTACTAATTACATCTTTCTCGTTCTTCTTGTGAATCGGAATTATTTTAAAAGTTTTAATTCTGTCCGGGAATTTCCCTTCCATAAAAGATTTATTAATTATTGGCATAAGAGGTTTAGTCACCAGGTGAGCACAAGACTTCACAATGGAATGGCGGTACCAGCTGCGGATTTTGTGTTCACATTAACCCTCCAAGTGTCCATAGTATTGTATTAATGTCCGCCCATTTATTACGCAATCGCAGGGTTTTAATATATCTTAGAAACTTAAAAACAATGTAAAGTAGGTAGGAGTCTACCGTACTGTTTTATATAGGGTACCTATCATTTTGTTTGGGAAATTATGGGCTTCAATGTATATAAAACATTAGGCTACAAAAAAAATTTTTAACAATTTTTGTGTGGTTAACATTTCTCAAAAATTATAAAATAAATGAAAAAAATGTATGTTTGCGCTCAATAAATTGTTATAATTTATAAGTCTACAAATATTTTAAAATAGCCACTTTGTTCTAAGTTAAATTTTATAAGGATTACAAATAGGCTATATATAATAATATAAGGAAGTAAATTTGCAAATAAATAAGTTATGGGTGAAAAACAGATTTCGTACACTTAGAGTTAGCTAAGAATGCATAGCCTAACCTTAGCTAGGAATCTGGCCGATAATTTACATCAATATCGCTACCTACTTCTTCAGGATCATCAACCAGCCCTTCAAAATCACTTAAATCTTCTTATAATGCACTAAGTATATCACTACTTTTTATATTTAACACTAAAACAATGATAAACGTAATAAAACACTTCAGTCATCGGTGCGAGGTTAACCAAGTTGTTTACAAATACGCATGTCAGCTGTCTGCTACAATATTTTCGGAACTAAAATGAAAAGCGTCTAGAAACAGACATCAGGAGAAAGCTTAGAATCTGCTGAAAACAACAATACCAATCTCGATCCCAGTTCAATCTGATTCAGTCAGTCCCAGAGTCTTTGCCGTAAACGATGTTTGTGTGTCGCAAAAGCGACGCATAACACTACGGCGGGTGTGTTGTGCGTCGATTACGCTACGCTTAACACTCGGAGGGTTAAGTAGCACATTCTTAAATTCACGTCTGATGCTAGCCAAGTAGGCCTACCGGTATGACCCGTGCTTATCTTAGCCTCTCCAAGATCGTCCATGGGGTAGACATGTCCTATTCAAATTCTTTTGGAAAAATTAAAGTGATTAACAATAGGAAATTAATTTAAGTTAGATCTAAGTTATTCGGAATTAATTTTACTAGGCTAACAATAAATTAATTATTGTTAAAACTCGACTCGGCCTTTATTGAATTTTATTCCCTCTGCACATGGTCTTCAAACCAATAAGAAAATGAATGTAAGCTAGGTCCAGTTTACTTAGCATGACTTACAGGGGCTTGTAAGATGAAACATCCGTATAGGTAAGTTAATCAGTCATAGACCTGTGATTTTATCTGCCTTTTGAATGATGAATAGGCCTAGGCACATAACTTACACCAGCCTCTGTTTTAGGCCTACCACAAATAATAACTTAATGCAAAAATAAAACTAATTTAGGTAATTACTTAACTTACTAAGCCTAACCCTAAAAATTAATTGCCTAAGGTGGATGGACTGGGTCAAGACAATAGACCTACGATGAGATAGTAAAGTTAAGATATAGGCTTAAGCCTACTGTTAATTCATTAAAATATTTAAGTATGAACTACAACAAAAATACTCACGTAAAATGACGTTTAAACGTTTGACACTTTGCAATCGTCTCTCAAAAAATCGTGAAATAATGAGTCTGTTCATAATTCCACTTTGAATTGTTACTGGAAACAATGTTCTGAATGTTAATCTCAAATCAAACACTGTTTAATTATTATTACAGAAACTATGGAGAGGTGTTCGTCCTTCTACAGCTAAAAAACAAATTACGTCAACACTTATAGGCCTACGTTCTCAACTCGCGTAAACCAAACAGACACTTTCTCTATTTTCTCATTTTCTGCCTAAATCTAAAACCTAAAATGCATTTCCTCAACGAAACGAACGAAACTCAATAACCAACCATCAACTTTCATCAGCTGTTGGTAACGTTACTTGCAGAAAAATCAAGGCATAGAGTATGCAGTACAAAGCGTATTAGGTATATTGTACTGTATATGCCCTTTTGAAGAAGAAGTGCTAGCTTTGTTACTGGCGATAAGATCAGTTATTTCATTAGCCAGAATTGATTCAAAGCCCAAAGATCAGGGGCAGCTGGGTCCAGTTTCGAACCATCAAAAAGCTACTGACTTTTCTCAGGATCGTTCCGGCAATCTTTTAATTGTTAGGTGAGCACTATAACTAGCTACCCACTTGTTAGTGCTGTCCTCTCATCTTAAAACCACAAATGCCTCAATAATCGGCAATCGCACGAAAAACAACCTTAAAATCTAGTACTGGTAGACCTGCTGCTCAATAGCGTTGAGTATACTACACCAATGTCAATAGTCAAACATACAGCTTAAACCTGTATAGAGTCTGAGCTCATTGAGATACGTTAATATTTTATAAACAAGGGAGTATGTTTTATATATGGAGAGCGGTCTGGTCTGCTGTACTCGCTGGCCAAAGCAGGTGACTGTAAAAAATGCTTAAAATTCGTTTCATGTTGATTTACCGACCTCAAAACCATTTTAGCAAATTAAAACGATCTATCTGTAAACTACTTTACTTATCCTTATATATAATTCTGTAGGACCAAATTTTTAACAGAAAATTGTGGACGTCTGGTAAGTCGCAGAAAAGTGGGAGGAGTCTTAAATTAAAGGTCTTGACCCCAGGGATTCGCGAAAAATAGCAGAACTCCCATAAAGTTGGGGTTTGACTTAGGGGAGGTACGATTGAGGCGTTAGTTCAAAATTCCTCCATGAACAGCGCTGTAGTAGAGAGCACTGTGGCAATACTAATCGCAAAAATAGTTCTGTTCATAAAATAAAATTTTAAATGCCTCAAATTCAATTTTATTATTTTTTAATTATAAAATTAAACTATCATTACCTAACCGAACTAACCAAACTTGCTGATGATGAAATAATATAACAAAAGTTTAGTAATAGAAAAAATAATTCTGTTTATTAAATAAAACTAGTAATTGCTCAATTAAAATTTTATAATGACTTAATAATAAAATTAAACTGTCATAACCGAACCAAACCAACCAAACTTGCTGATAATGAAAAAATCTTGGACAAAAATGTAATGCTACCAGCGGGCTTCAAACCAGGGACCTTCAGCATGTAAGCCCGGCACGCTAACCACTAGACCACCGAGCGCGACAGATCGTATTGTTACGCTAAATAGCGTTCCCTCGCTAATGAGATGAGAAGCCCACAGCTGTCATCGTCTTCTATACCTCCCCTGAGTAAATACCCATAAAGTTGCCAGAAAACGAGATATAACGTAAAATGTTCTCCAAGCCCCCCACACACTACCAGACCAGACCTCCAGACCAGACCGTCTGGCTGCAACCAGACCGTCTTGGATGGCTCTACACAAAAAAATAATTAACCTCCAGACGGTCTGGTCTGGAGGTCTGGTCTGGTAGTGTGTGGGGGGCTTTGAATAGCATTAGAAGCTATTTTACTGCTGATTTTTGTTTACTTCAATACAGCTGAGCTGATCGTGATTTATCATGAAGCCAGTAAGCAATTTTAACATTTGGATTACTTATTTGCCAGTCAATTCTGCAATGTACTATATAAAACAGGGATATCGTTACCTATAATAATGAAGACTTTTTTGTTACGTTATAGAATGTGGAAATTAATTATTTTACTGTGAAACTTTTCAAAAATGTGTATTTTTTGCGTTTAACATGAAATAACCACATTGACTAAATAATTTACGTTTCAAAATTAAATAGATATAACTTCTGCTTTGTTTTTATTTCAAAATATATATCCTAAATTTATTCAACACTTTCTTTATTTTAAATTTTAGATTTATTGTACTGTTTAGTTAATATTTTGTATGAAGTGGAATAACCTCAACGGATACTCTTAGAAAATAACCTGGGAATAAATATGGATTAGATTCGTACAGGAAATATATATTTGCTAATTAAGTAAGTACTATGACAAGTTCCAATGGGAGGAAAAACAATATTGTTTGGAGATTATAAACCGGTACTGTCTGTTGTTCGCAAAAGAGTTAAGAATCAGCCGATGATTATGCTTAATTTGATAGAATATATGTAACGTAGATCGCACCTTTAAGAGGAATAACCACATAAACTTACACTAATATTGTAGTTTTTTTGTTGTTGATCAGAACAAATCTAGGATTAAGTTTGGTCAATGGGATGCCTTTACTTTACACTAATGTTGTTAAACCTTAACAAAAATCAGTATAAAATTAGAAATATTAACTGGGTAGGGATGCTAATTTAGCGGGTTTGGTCAAGAACTAAGCTTTGCCTCAACACACAGCTAGCAGGTTATTTGCCTTTTCATAGGCTATTTGACGAAGACAATTTCCAAAATTCCAACCAGGGAAGTCTTTTTTATCACCATTAACCACAAGACCAAAGCTAACATTAATAAACCAGTATTTATTCAAAAACAATTATATGTTTGCTGCATTTGGCAGAGTTAAACCTATTAAGTGATTTGAATGATTTATTGAAAATAACATCAACAAAGGAAAACAAAGACAAACAACAACTGTTTTTTACATAAAAGATATGGCATACAGGGATATCTATTCTGACACATAGGTAATGTATTTCTTAGTATGTTTGAATATTAGAATAATTTGTTTTATATTATTGAGCTTTTTAGGGACTTATGTCCCTACAAGGCACTAGTAATATCTATTAGAAGATCTATTAGAACAGAAGTAAATAGCACAAACGGCATAATCAACCCTAAACGACAAACAGTTTATGGGGGAACTGCACTCAAATGCTACCAACAACGTCGCAATAATATGCTTCAAAATAATAATAAAAATAGGACGATAAATTTAACCTTTGTTCAAAGTTGTGTTCAGGAACTCTCGTCAACTAAGCTTGGAAGTTGGAAACGGATCAATTAGAATTGCATATACCATTTCTACAAAGTACTTTATGAATAGGTAAAAGATATTTTATATATCGTTCTCTAATATGTGTCATGCATCAGGATCTTTATCGCATAGGCATATGTTCGTGCTTTATTCAAGTTTGAAAAAATTGATATCGCTATAAAGAGAACCAATAAAAACAATAAAGCTATAAAAATGTGTTCAAAAATTATAAAAAAGAAAAAAAATATGCACTCTTACTGGAAATGAATTACTTCGTAGGTAGATTACTTTGCATTAATTTTCCATGTTCGTGAATGTTCTAAAATAAAGATATAAATCAATGGTTTATAACTTCCTAATCTATCTATATCTATCTATATATTAATAGGCAAGCATGTTTCTTTAAAACCTTTTTTCTCAGCTCGTGTGCATCGTAGGTGAAATCTACGCATACCGTTAGAAAGCTATTTTCCTCTAGGTGTGCAGAATCCCTTTATAAATTTAAATAGGCTCAAAGATAAGCACGAAAAATGAGTTTAAAAATTTGAAAAAAATTAACATGGATCTTATGCGTTGCCATGGTGACGAAATAACAACGAAATATAAACAGAAAATCAAAACAAATGGAAGAAACTCCAATCACATGTTTTATTTACAGTGTAGGGTAAAAATAGATAAGTGAGTACAGTACATTGGACATTTTTGGTCGAGTTTCGACCACTGGACGACCTCTCGTACTTATTTAATACGCAAGCAGGATTTTTGTGACAATTACTCCTCCGAAACTACTGAACCGATTGACATGTTTTTGGTGTCATTGGAAAGAGCGTAACGTGAAGTTGTGCAGGAAACTTTCTTTTTAGGTAAATAATTAGAGAGTGAGGCCCTGGGGCCCTTTAAAGTTTCGTATTTCTCCATAAGATTAACATGGGAAACGAACATTGTTTTGAAACTCCAGCTGTTGTCATAAATTAAATATTACATTTGCTTTGACATTTAAATGTAAACAACCAGAACTGTCAAATGCCTGAAGAACACATGTTGTTAATTGTAAACAGTCAAGTGTAAATTATCTATGTTGTTTTAAAATGTGTATAGTTTTGGATGTTGGTTTGTGTTTAATGATATAAGTTATTAATTATTGCATTTTTATTTTAAGGATTTGGCATATGAGTATGCCTATGATAAATAACTCCATTTCAGAGTTCTGCCAGTTTTTGCATAACTCTGTTCTGTAGAGTTTAGCCTACACCCTACACCTACATATTGGCTAAATAACTTAGGTACGGTACATTATAAAAGCTGACAGCCTTTTTACTTTGACTTAAATTGTAAGCTTACCTTTTCCCGTCCATGGACAGTTTGATAGTTAAACATTAACCCTTTAAACTGGAATAGGACTGTTATGTAAATTGTGAGTATTTTTATCAGTTAATAATCTTTTAGTTGACTCTTTTAAAATCATCGGAAATTATGACTGTTATTAGTTTTTAAACAAGTCATTTGTTTATTTGTAACTCCTTAACTCATGTACTTATTTGAAATTGCTCGATTTCGAGCAACATGTACACTAGTACTTATTTAATACGCAAGCAGGATTTTTGTGACAATTACTCCTCCAAAACTACTGAACTGATTGACATGTTTTTGGTGTCATTGGAAAGAGCGTAACGTGAAGTTGTGCAGGAAACTTTCTTTTTAGATAAATAATTGGAGAGTGAGGCCCTGGAGCCCTTTAAAGTTTTGTATTTCTCCATAAGATTAGCATGGGAAACAAACATTGTTTTGAAACTCCAGCTGTTGTTAGAAATTAAATATTAATAATTGGTCTCCATGGAAGCATGAGAAAATCCACAATGTTTACATTTTGCTTTGACATTTAAATGTAAACAACCAGAACTGTCAAATGCCTATTTCACAATTTCAGATAGCTGATCAAAAATAAGTAAAACAACTATGTGGTAGGTTTATTTAATCTTAAACTT